CTTATGACATGCCCTTGGTACAAGTATATGGGAATTCTAAAGAATGATAAATATTCTCACCCTGGCTTATTCAACTGTTAACAGGGATCAGTGAACCATTACTATAGTGTTGAAATTTACATTCTGTAATGGCATGGAAGAATTAGCCCCATAAAGCAGAGAGAATAATAAAATATTCTCTTGTCCTAACACTTTTGCACAGTACTGTATAACAATCAATCTCTCATCAAATGAGAGCAAATAATTCCATAGTTGAGTTCCCTCTACCTGCAGCCTGTGTAAATGTACTGGTAGATGGTATTACCACCGAAGTGGTAACATGGACATCGATATTCATCATTAAAGTTGAATAATCAAACACAACAGTGTTAGAATAAATAAATGAAAAACTAGAAAAAAAAGTATGTTATCCTTATGTTCACAAACGTTGGAAATATGAGAATAACAATTCCATTTTGGAATAAATTACAAACAGTTCAATCAATGTGGAAAAAAAAATTCAAAAAATGTATTAAATTAAAAAAAAACACAATTGAAGAGCACAATGAAAAAGGTCTTGATAGTTTGGTAGACTCAAAGAAAGGGAGACACATCCATCAGGATATTGTTTCACACTCCTGTTGGTGGAGGGTTGTCACAGGATGATTTACATGTGAGACACATTTGAACCATGTTGATCGTGGGGTACGTGGGAGTTCAAGGCTTGTGGCATGTGAAAAAATATTTCTATATAGAGAGCAGCACTGAATGAGAATAGCTTTATATGTGAGCAGAGGTAATTTTTCTATGCAATGCTGCTTAGCAAGATGCATTTGGCACAAATTATTTTTAAAAAATGAGCATAACAGTACTTATCTACCTTTTCAAAAGTACATCACGGGAGAGCTCCAACTGTTTTCCAATCAACTGTTGAAACTGAGAAAGATCAAGTGCTTCTTTTTTACTCATGATAAAAGGGATGTCTAAGAGACGCAAGCTTCCATAGTCTCGGTGCCATAAGTGTAGTAGACCACAAACACAAGGGTTCAATAAATGGAGACGTTGTTTTATTGTTTTCCTAGCAATTGTAAATCTTTTATGCCATGGTTTAGGAACCACCATTAACTCTTCTCTATGAGCAGGGATTTCCTCTTCTGTCTCTTTGGTTTCTTGTGGATCTCGAAGAACAAAATCAACTACAAACAGTTTAAAAATATTTATAATGAATAAAGTAGCCTACTAAAAATATAAAATCTGCAGTATACTCAAAATATTTACAAGCACACTGACACGTTTTAATATTTCAAAACAAACATTAATATTAAATCATGAAGTTACTTTAACCATAAATTATACTTAGGCTTAGAAAAAACAGTATTTAGAGCATCATACTGAGAAAAAATTTTTGCTATGAGATGGCCTTTCTTATAAATTATTCTTTATAATAACTTTATATATAGTACTTTCACTGGCATACCATATATGTATGAAATGCATGCATTGTATTCCCCAGAAGTTAACATTATATATATATATATAGTTCTT